TCCTTGGACCCTTCTAGGGCTCCTGTGGTCTTCCCCCCATGGTCCTTAGACCCTTCTAGGGCTCCTGTGGTCTTCCCCCCATGGTCCTTGGACTCTTCTGAGGCTCTCGTGGTCTTCCTGCTGGAGGGAGTCCTGTTCTGTCCATGTTTCTTGGACTTTTCTTGGGTTCTTGTGGTCTTCTCATTGGTTGATTTAGTCTCTTCTCCATGTTTTGTAGGCTCTGCTGGAACTCCTGGGTTCTTCTTATAAGACAATGTGGCCCCTTTTCCATTTTCCACTGGGTTTACTAGTGATCTTGTGATATTTATATGAGCTGATGTGGTCTTATGTATGTGTACTGTAAGTGTGGCTGGCATTTGTGTGGTCTTTTCAGTGGCTGATGTGGTCCTGTTTATGTGTTCTATAGTCTTCATCACAGTCTTGTCTGAGGCAACTGTAATTCTGGGACTAGTAACTGTTTTATGATCTTCAGTTCTTTTTGACCTTTCTGGGGTTCTTGTAGCCTCATATGATACATTTGTGGCTGTTACGCTTTTGCCTGTGGAGGATTTAGATATTTTATTGGTCTCTAGACTGACCGTATTGTGGACAGGATTTATGGTCTTGTGTGAAGTAATGCTTTTACTGTCTAAAGTAGTGTTGCTGTTTCCTATTTTAGTGTATGTGCTGCCAAAGTGAGCACGTGTGTTGATGTTTCCTGAAGGTGTTACAGTTTTACGTTGGTTTCCTGAACCTATTTTGTTTTTGTTGGTCTTAGTGCAAGCTGTTTTGTTCTTGAGTGCTGTGCTTAGATGTTTTGCACCAGACGGTCCTTTGTGTGTGTTAGTAGAGTCAGTAGGATCAACAGAGCGTTCATTCCGGACATCTGGGTCTTTTTCTTGATTGCTGGGGTTTTTCTCAGAAGTAGGAGGAACTTCCTGATGACTTGCAGACTTTTGGAAATTATCTGTAGGATTGTAAGTTGGCTTGAAATGGTGTGTAGTGTTGCAATGGTGTTTTAGCTTAGGGGTTTCTATAGATTTACTGAGGTCCAGAGGGCTCCGGTCTGAATGGAGAGCAATAGGAGGAGGGAACAAATGATCAGATGCCTGGGAATCATCAGTTTTCTGAAGTCCTTGAGATGTGATAGCACCTGTGAAGGAAGAAAAGCAAATAAGAAATTTCCATTATGTTCTTCCTTGCTTCTCTGTCCACTTCTGTCTCTAGGGATCCCTTTATTACCTTAGATATATCTCCTCAGCCAGTATCCTCAGAATACTATGATATATAACCCCCACTTTCTCCTCTAGTCTCTGGACCTTTGTTCAGGCTGTGCCTTCAGCAAGTAGCCACCTCACCTCTTTTCCACCTTTACTCTTCAGTTCTCAGTTTCAGACCTTTCTGGCTTTATGGCATCTTTCCAGATCCTTCCAAGCAGATAAGATCTAGCTTCATCTCAGTGCTCAAAAAATTATTTGTTAATACCCTTCAACTGGACATTACAGTTATTTGTGTGCCTGTCAACCTCTACCTCCTGCCACGCCTATCAAATCATAAGATTTTGAGATCAGATATTGACTTGCATTTTGCCCCACAAATGCTCCTTTAGTTTGTATACTTATGGAATGAAGTTCCCTTTCCATGACGGAGCTGAGAGGAAAGGGAACAAATACCAGAATCTCCATCTTCCCATAACATTCTAGCTCCATCCCAAATGTAACTGTGTGAGAGACTGAGGTAAGATTTCTGGCAGAACTTCCCAGAGGGATTAACAAGTAGACATGGATGATGAATGAAAGAAAGCTCAGAAGAGGAAAGGAGGGTGGATAGAGAAGGGAGATGGGAAACTTCCATTTTGGTATTAAAGTTTGGTCTGGATGC